TCTTTAGGACTCAAAGTGTGTGAATAACGTATACTAAGGAACTTGTGCTCTGATACCATTCTGTCACGACCCCAAACCGCCCCTAGTAGGATGGTGCCGTGATGGCCAGTAATCTGGGATTACCAAAGGCCTCTTACAAAGATTCACACACAACAGAGTATACATAGGGGGCTTACAAATGCGGAAGCAATAAATTAAAATACAAGTAGTCCATAAGAGCCGTGCATAGACCAAATGAGATGGCATACATCTTAACATGGGCTACAACTTGGTTAGAAATAAGGTAAAGTACATGTTACATCTTGATCAAAAGGCTTCTCAAGCCGACGTATGCAAAATACAAGTATTACAAGTTGAGAAGCATAATCTTCAAGATTGCCGACATGAATACAAGTCAAGCCGACATAACAAGAATCCAAAACAAGCTTGCAAAACACATCTAGGCATCACCGCCTTTTTGCTCATAACCGACATATATATATGGAGAGGGTGAGCTTGGGCACTCAGTGAATGATATAAATAATAAAGGGTTTGCATGAATAATAACCGAAGTCTTTTGAAAACAAAACATATCAAACTTTACATAACAAGGGATGAACCACGTTCATCTAACAAATCTTCAAGCTTCAAGGGATGCTTACTAGCATCAACATATTTCAAATGATGACATTCCGGACAACAAACCCGCGCGGTAAACCGTCAGTGGCAAAACAAGACAAGACAAGGGAGATATCTCAAACGATGGTGCAGTAGCATTATAGTCCCCTGGCACTAAGGACTTTCCAAAACAAGATTTGCAGTTGCATTATAGTCCCCTGACACTAAGGACTTTTCCAAGACAAGATGTGCAGTTGCATTATAGTCCCCTGACACTAAGGACTTTTCCAAGAATGTCATCAAAACAAATGCATTTATTCGATACACCAAAAATAGGGATATTCATTCATGCTTGAACAAATACTTTTATCAAAACAAGGCAAAGCAAAGCTTTATCAAAACTTTATAACATAGCTTTATTAAAAATACTACCCACATAGTTCTTCAAACGCCGGGGTCAAGGCAAAAGTCCAAGTCCTACAAACACATGGCAAAGTCTATTGAATGCACTTTCAAATAAGCTTCACATGCAAACGGATGAATCTTGGCATTCTTCAAAACTAAGTTAAATCAAAACAAAACACTGCTTTTCATCTCGGAAAAGCATGCTGGGCACCAACCAGGTCTTGGTTGAGGTCCCACACCTTCTCGCCGAGGTGTGGTCCCGACGGCGACATTCGAAAGCGAAGTCGGGAAAACCTGGGTTTCCCTTTGAGGAACATGAAGAACATGAAGATGGAGAAGATGAAGAACATGCATGCTTAAATCATAACTTGTTATTACAAAGTTTGAGATTTCGTGCTATGAGTTTGAAAACATGGACCTGGGTACCCATACTTGAAGATCTTGTGAAAACAAACACAAAACACGATTCTTGATGCAAACTTTCGGATCAAAACAAGACTTTTCTTCAAGAACACATGAACACTATCTTCTCTTACTAAAACCAACTTTAAATCAATGCAGGGCATGCAGAACAGGTTTGATCATGCAATGCAGCTGGACGATCAATAAAAACAAGAGTAGATTAAGATTCTAACCTCAAAACTTGAATCTAACGGTTCAAACTCCCACGGTCAAGCTTGGAGGTCCACTCTCTCACTCAAAAGCTTCTCATTCTCCTTCCTAGAGTCTCTCTCTCTAAAAGACAAGATTTGATACAAAATGATATGTTCTCTCGACAGCAACTGACTTAACCCTCTGCTGGGACACGTGGCATCGGCTGATTGGTTCTTCCCAAAAAATGACTGACTGACAAGACCAGACTATGACAAAGTGTGTTCAATAAGCTAGACGACAATGTCACTCCGGCGAGTGATGATCTCGGCTAAGGGCAAAGCTTCGGCAAGTAGGGTGACAAGGACATCGGTTTGGAAAGACAACACTTGACTAAGCCGTGCCACACTTTGGCCTAGATGTGCCACACCTCGGTCAAGGTCATACCATTCCAGGAACAAAATCAGTAAGTGCAAGGATCAAGGATCTAGAACGCCTAGATGATAACATCTCGGCCTAGATGATGCACATCTCGGCCTAGATGATGACATCTTGGCCAATATGCCTAGGTGATGGTGGAGGTCAACCAAAGTGGTTCCAAGATAGTTCTAAGTGTAAAAAGGTTCAAAGGTGACTAGGCCTAAGGTGACCCCGGCAACACACCAGGCAAGGACAAAGCATGCAAGAAACACTCAAGCAAAACAAGACAGGATTTGCAAATGCAACATAACAAAACAAGGTCATACATAAATGTATGCAAGTATGACTAAGTTGAAGTGAGGGTTGTTACACCTTCTTCCTCTGATGTGAATCTGATTATTCAAGATACTTCATTGTGGGTTCTATTGGTACAAATATGGTAATGAACAACATACCAAGACATAGAATCTGACTCGATCATAGATTCAGGTAGGAAAAATATTTGAATTAGAATGGAATTAAAACAACAACAAACTAGAGATTCAAATGTCTGTAACAGACTTTAACTACTATTGTTCATTGTAGCCAGAAACCCACTGATCGATCAAATTACATAAACCATGAAATCACATAAACCACATGAAATTAGTAAAAACACAAATAATTCTGTCTATCATTAACTAAACTGCAATCTATCATATTGTATGCTGTATATAAAACAGAAACAGTTCTAACTTGTCATAACCCATCAGTAAAACCACAAATTCAAAAATGATTCCATTAATAGTACGTTGCAACTAATCAAAGTCAAATCATACTATTCATACAAAAACAAATAACATCTAAATTACCAAAATGAAGATGAACGAAATCCATATTTGAATCAATTCAAAGCATTGCATTACTCATGATATTCATAAATAGAAACATGTTTTGGAAAAAATACAGAAACAACAAATAAATTTACTAAAACACAGTTTTGGACACAAGCAATTAATTATATTTTTCCAAAAACCATAAATACGACCAGAATCCGTCTTAAGATTGTTAGAAAACTAGTACCAAACTATATGGAAAATATAATTTAAAAATATGTAAACGGTTTTTTTGAAAAAAATCAAAATTGAAATAAATTGACAAAATAACATAACAAAACTTATAGTACATAAATATATAAAACCTGATCGAGTCGAGTGTGTGACACTCTTTCCTTAAGACAGATTCGTCCTCCCACCGGTGCTTAGGATTCAATGGACGTGTATCTCCCAAGATACAGCGATCAATGTCTTGCACTAGCAGCACTACTATTGCAAGCCTAGCAAATTTCGCTGTGCAAGTACTCTCTTTATAGGAAAATTAGACATAGGAAATATGAAGAATAAATGCAAAGTGAAGAAGAAATGACAATTCTCTATATCAATTGAAGTGCGGGGAATGAAATTTATAGATTCCTCCATGACTCTTTAGAAAAGTTGTGACCATTCAAAAGGACACACCCTTCCATCTCAAGAGACACAACCATTGGAGTAAATTCTAATTCAAATTTTCCAACATTTTTAAATTAATAATTATCACAATTTTACAAGTGAAATGTTTCAAATTGTCATAATAAAACTCATGACAAATTTACAGTATGTAAATAAATAAATTAATTAAAATTATCCAGTGCGTCCCCCGAGCTAGTAAATAAGACTTTTAAATAAACCAAGCTTGAGTGGTGTTTGGCTAGTTAAAAATCACTTGAGATCAATTTATTATGTAAACAAATAATACTTGAACATAATTTTAAATTTCGTAATGTTATTAGATTAAATTTAAATAATTTATTACTCGATTCGTTAAGTTCGTATGTATTATACACAAATCAAATTTCTTAAACTCAACTTATCAAAGACCTATTTAAAATTAACTCATTGTATAAATAAATTAAACTTAAACATAATTTTAAATCTTAAAATTATCAAATTAAATTAAAATAACTTGTTACATGCTCAACTTCACTCATTTTCGTGCCTACTAGGATGATGTTTGAAATATTTTAAATAAGTTTACTTTTTGACTTTTTATTAAAAAATATATAAAAAAAAATAGAGAAAGTGATTAGAAAAATAGAGAGTAGATGTTAATAAATGTTGATTGATGTTATTCAATTAAATGTATGTATGTAAAAAATACACTTTTTTAATACATACCAAACAAATCCTAGATCTTTTTTTTTATCAGATGCCTACTACTAGATCACAATCTAATAAATTAGAGCATCTCCAACCATTGTTGCTATAAAGTTATTGCTATAATTTGGCAATAAATATTTTGCCAAATTATAGCAATGGTGCTCCAATGGTCATTTGCTATTTTGGCAAATCTTAACCAACTTTCCTTTCAAGTTTGTTGGTGTTGTTTGGATATAGGTTTTTTTGTGATTTTATTTTTGTTTATTTTTTATCTTTTGTGACATTTTTTTACTTGTTTGTAAAAAAAAAATTATATATTTATATTATTCCCAACTAGACAAATATAAAAAATAAAAAAAAATGAAAAACTGGGAATATATATATATATATATATAATTTACCCCACCAAAAAACATATCACTACATATTTAATAATTTTGTTTAACTACACGTAAAAAATAAATAATCACCAATTACCCACCAACAATCGTCCATTATTCACCTATCATTCATTTACCAACAACTAATCACCAACAACCATTCATTATTAACCTAGTATTCATTCACTAACAATTATCCACTCAATAACCATCCATTATTCATCTACCCACCCAACAACCACCTATTATTCATCCACCCACCCAACAACCATCCATCATTCACCCACTCACAATTTTCTCTATAAATATAACACAAGGTTTTCTACAATTTTCATATTCACCTACCTATCATTTTCATATCTTCTAAACTATCTGTACCCACCCAGAAAATTTTCTACAATTTCATATTCACCCACTCATCCATCCACCTATAATGAACAATTTGACTAAAGCCATATTGAATGGAGATTTTGATGAATCTTTATCATCTGATGATGATATCTTCATGATACAACTATTCACAGCGCAACAACAAAGAATACAGACGTTAAGCCTAAACCAACAAACCAGACGTGTTGGTTCCACAAGTGGTTGTCGATACATTAATTGTGAGAGGGTCAAAGGCGACGAACAAATTTATAGAGATTATTTTACAGATAATCCTGTCTATCCAGAAGAATACTTCCGAAGATGTTTTCGAATGAGGCAGTCATTGTTTATTAGTATCTTACGTGATATTCAACAAGTGAATGAGTACTTCATCCAAACCCGTGATGCCATTGGTGCTTCTGGATTATCCGATGTACAAAAGATGACTGCAGCACTTCGGATCCTGCAGTACGGCGTGCCTGCTGATGTTGTAAACGAGTACATTAGAATCGGCGAAAGTACTGCAATTGCCGCCTTGAATTTTTTTACTAGATCAATTGTTGCTACCTATGAAGCCGTTTACTTAAGATCCCCAAATGAAGCAGATGTCGCCAGAATATTCCAAGAGAGAGAGCAACGCGGGTTTCCTGGAATATTAGGGAGTTTGGATTGTATGCACTGGCGTTGGGATAAATGTCCAACTGCCCAAGCCGGTGCTTACACTGGACACTACAACAAACCAACAGTTGTACTCGAGGCAGTTGCCTCCTATGACTTGTGGATTTGTCATGCTTTCTTTGGCATGCCTGGCTCTCTAAATAATATTACTGTTCTTGAATAATTGCCTTTATTTGCTGAATTAACTAGAGGACGTGCCCCTGCTGCCAACTACACCATCAATAATCACACGTACACCATGGGGTATTAGCTTGCTGATGGTATCTATCCTCGTTGGGCAATGATTGTGAAAACAATATCTTAATCTCAAGGTGCAAAGAGGCAACTATTTGCGATGATGCATGAGGCATGTAGGAAGGATGTCGAAAGGGCATTTAGAGTGCTCCAAGCACGATTTAATATTGTCAGAGTTCCAGCTAGAGGTTGGAGTGATGAGGATCTGTACTACATAATGAAGAGGTGCATTATTTTGCACAATATGATCATTGAAGACTAGCGTGATATTCTAGAAAATGAACGCAATGATGCACAACTTGAGACTGATAACAGTAATTTGGGCTGTCAAGTGTCATGTGATCCGAATGAGGAGTATGCTCAATTATGTTGAATCGGAAAATGATTAGATCTACTGAAGCCCATAATGCAATTCATAATGATCTAATTGAACACTTGTGGTCCTGAGCTGGAGAGTAAGATTAAGTTTGTATTTTATCTTTTTAATGAGAGTTAATGTCATTTAATGTTAGTTAATGTCTTTTTATTCTAATAAAATTATCGTCATTTAATGTCTTATTATTTTATCTTTTTATTGCCTTCATTTGAAAAAATATATTTATTTTTTTGCGTTATACTTTATTGAAAAATTTCATTACATTGTGAAGTAGAATATACTCAAAAATAAAAATAAAAACAACATGAAATTTCATTACAAAATAAAAATTACATTGCAAATAAAGACTAATTAACAATTACATCAAAAAATAAATGATATTGCAAAATTTAAAAATACGTTATCCTGTAATTATTCATTAGGAGGCAGAGGAAAATAAAAATTTGGGTTGCTCACATTTGAGGACCACATGGCGAAAATTTCATTTTTTCGCATTGTGTAATACGCTTTCATCTGATGGTTCAAATAAGAAATGTCCGTAGTCATTATTATGTGTTCTTCCTTTTTCATCTTAAGTTCTTTCATCTCCTGCAGTGCTTGAATCCTTTTTTCTTCTCTTTCCTCTTTTTTCTTTTCTTTCTCAGAAAGGTGTTGGTTAAATGTCTCCAATTGTATGCTCATTTTTTGGACTTCAGCTTCAATGACTTGATTTCTCCGAAATAATTCTTTTGCAGCTTTCTTACCCATAGGCCTTTTATCCCTTGCAGAGACACTGCCCTCACCAACAGTTGGATTATTACCAACTCTTGGACTGTTGTCATCTTCAAGGAAATAAAGTTATCCATAGGGGAATCGGGAGGTGAATTAGGGGTAAACGCTGTATGCATCCTTGACTTTACCGTATTTGTAGGAGCTACATCTTGCAACTTGATATTGTCTTGCAAGATTGACCAACAATATTCCAAAGCAAAATGTTTGTTTTCATGTTGATGGTATAACAGTTTTGCTTGAAGCATCTGTTTAAAAAAAATTGAAACATTATTTAATTACTTAATTTTTATATGATACCAGAATAAGATGCTAAACATAATAACTGAAGATGAAAACTTATTATCTCAACTTGAGAAATCCCACTTGGGTGAAGATTTTCGACTTGCGCTAAACACCCTCGAAATTTGTTACAACATTTCATGATTATACCCCATCGAGATTGAATAGACACTTGTGTTCTGGACTGATCATTCTGAACCAAGCAATAATTTTTGTAAATTCTCCCCCAAAAGTGAGCATACGATTGCGAATTGCCAACAATTGGGTCTTTCGAAATGTGACACCAAGATTTACAAATTGTTATATCTTCTTCAATGGTGAATGATTTTCCTCTCTTTGTTTTTGATGAACCTTCCATAGTAATTGGATGAAAAAACTAAAAAGAAAATAATTTAAGAGGTTTGCTGTGAAAACAAATTCAGAGAAGAGAGGAGAAAAGAAAAATTAAATTCAAATGTTTGTGTGAAATAAAAGTGACATGGAGGGTTTTAATTTATAGAAATTTAAAATATTACTGTTTGGGGAAATAGATGTTTGAAGATAGCTGTTGTAAAAAAAAATTATTATTTTTTATTTAAAAAAAAACCAAAAAGAGCACAATGGCTCTTTTAATACACAATGAGAGAGCATTCATCGTCCACGTATAAACATCAACGGTTAACTGTCAAGTGTCTAGAATGATCCACCGATATCCGCCCTCTTCCTCTCCTTCTCCCTCTCCCTCTTACTCTGTCTTCCTCTCCTCAAACCACTTTCCCTTCTCCTCCATGATCGAAACCCCTCTCTTAGTCTCTTACTTTGTCTCCCTCTCATTCTCTCACTCTGTCTTCCCCCTCTCTCTGTTTTCACTCTTCCTCTCCCTTTCTCTATTTTCCCCCCCTTTCCGCAAACCAGTCATTTCTCCTTCTCCATGATCGAAACGTCTCTCTCTCTCTCTACCTATGAAGCTTCGATCTGTCTCCCTATCAGTCTTCACCTCCGATCTGTCTACTCTCTACCTCTGGTACGATCTCCATCTATACACACACACACACACACACACACACATATATATGTTTTGATATCTATCTCCCTCCCAGTCTTCACATTTTGATTTTTTCTTTATTTTTCTGGTTGTTGATGTCGATCTGAGGTGATCGTGATTTTTGAAACTCAAATCTGGCGATGGATTCAAACCGGATTTTTAAAGAACTCAAGCATCTCCAGAAGGTTCTTCAAAGAACACAATCTGGCATTTTTTTTTTCAAATTTTCTTATTTATTTATTTTGATTTTTGGTTTAATTTTTTTTCATCCATCAATTTTTGTTCATTCGATCATTTTATTGTGATAATATCCATTTGATTTGGTTTGGTTTATTGTGAATGCATACCATCTGATTTGGATTGACTGATTTGGTGATAAATGATTAAAAAAAATTAAAAATTTTAGAGAAACTGAATTTGGGTTTGTCAATTTCATTCTAAAATTTGTTAATTTGGCAACAAAATAGAAAATTGGGTTTGATTCTGAAAATTGGGTTCCCTACTGTTTCAATTCTGTTTTTTTGAATTGAATTTGGTGCCAAATTTCTATTGATATTTGTTGATCTGGCAAGCTTGAGAGCTGCTATTCAACTTGTCAAATTTGAGAATAGATATGGCATCTGTTATCTTTGGTAAGTAAAATAGTAGGCCATTAAGACCTCTTTTTTCCATTTTTGTCAAATTTTAATTTTGACAGTTTGAATAGCAGCTCCATTGGAGATGCTCTTAGGCGTGAAAAATGGAGATGTGCAATCGTATGCCACATAAAGCGGGTATAATATTGAGTGATGCGATGAGGTGAGATGATAGGGGTGGTGTCTTGTAATTTCAAATTAAAGGAAATTTTTGTTGCCAATAAGATACTATATGGTATTGTCAAATCGAGTGGTTGTTAGTTTAAAAATTAATTGTATTTTTTAAATTTAATGATGTGATAATCAATTAAAATATTTAAAATAATATTTTTTTTAATATTTTTGTTAATTATCAATCAATTATATCAATTATATCATTAATATAAAAATTGGATTTATATATAATTTTCAATTCAGATTTTGAAATTATTATTTCTGATTGGGTCTTACGATTAAACTCAATTATAATAATAAAAATATCACATGATATATATTTTATCTATATACAAAAATTACTCATCCTAATCAATGCAAATCGAGTGGTTGTTAGTTTAAAAATTAATTGTATTTTTTAAATTTAATGATGTGATAATCAATTAAAATATTTAAAATAATATTTTTTTTTATATTTTTGTTAATTATCAATCAATTATATCAATTATATCATTGATATAAAAATTGGATTTATATATAATTTTCAATTCAGATTTTGAAATTATTATTTCTGATTGAGCCGAGAGGTTTGGATCCGATAGATTGCTTCTTCCGGTTGCCTTTTTGCAAGGAATTGTTAGGAACTCGCTCTCTGATTGGCTGATTCTCACTAAAATTTATTATAGTTGCGAAGAAGAAATTAAATAAATTCTACTTTTATAACTAAGTTCAATTTAGTTGTACAAAAATGCTTGGTAGCTATAGCTCGAATTTGTATGACCTAAATTATTCGAATGCATCAAAACGATATCGTTTTATAAGAAACAAAGAGTGTACAATTTCTTCACCTTCACCTCCACCACCACCTTCACCTTCACCTCCACCTCCACATTTGTCTGATCACCATCAATTCCACCAAACATAAAAAATAAATAAATAAATAAAAATAAAAAAATATTTTCTATTCAAACAAAGAGTGGTAGTGTTATTATTAGACTCTGTCTACAACAGATGAGTGTAAAAATTGTTAAACATTTTGTTAGTGTACACAAGATAAAAGGAGACTTTTTCATTTTATAAGAAAATTTATATTTTCTTCTAGCCCACATCACATTTTTATTTTTATTTTTTTAAAAAGTCAAAAAAATAATTTTAAATTTACTTCCCAAAACAATTCTAGTGGTGGTAGAGCATGTATCTGTGGTGTTTCAACTTACATTTTATTGCTTAAAATAATATGATCACCATTTCTAAAAGACAAATCCAGAAGGAAATGCCATTTTAAATGGTATGAAACTTTATTCTAACTCAATCAAATAAAACTAATTGAATGGAAAAAGATGTTCCCCTTTTAAAAGCTCAACGCCCACCACCACCATATTCATATATATAAAAAATCTAAAAGTAATGCTTTTATTTTATTTTATTAATTGTACAATTTCTTTTAAGTGATTTGTTTTTCGCTAAAGATCATTTAATTATACAAAGCGATGTATAAGCTAGCAAAAAGTTAATTTTTTTACCCAGTCACTTTGTATTAATTATATGCTACGTTTGATGTACTTTTTTGCACTTATTATATGTTACATTTAATTTTTATCATTATTGTAGTTGAGAGAGAGATTTATGATCTGGATTGGGCCGTGGTAATGGCCGGGCAGATTTGGGCGGAACACAGTTGGGCCGTGGTA